CTGAAAAAAAGCCTTTGCAAACACTAGGATAACTATTTGCTTGAATATCATAAAGTTGGATATGAAAAATAAACGTTTGAGATGAGATCTTAAATTTGAGCAATAAAGTATTTGCTATTTTTGCTAGAAAGGATAAAATAAGTGTTATCTCTGTCTTTAGAGGCTTTCTGTGATGATCATGAATCTAAGAAGAAAATAATCATATGCTTATTTGTAAAAAAATATCTATTGAAAAAAGTCATTTCAAACGTGAAGAAAAAAAATTTATATATTTACAAATACTTGTTTATTTTAAATATAACTTAAAGGAAATTGATTGTGCAATTTTGTATCAATGAATATCTAATTTATTAATAGTTTAGAATTAATGCGCGAATTGAAGCATAAAATATTGATTAATAAAACTCAAATTTTATGAATAATATAATTCATATTTTTGTACGTACAAATAGCGCCAATATAATTACAAAAAAAAATGTATTCTTGTCTAATCTTATTGAGCGCTATTTATATTTATAAAAGCAAAAAAGAAATAAAACAAAAACGATAAAAAAAATAAAATTTGTAAAATGCATTATCTTTACTTAGAGTGAGAATTCTCCGAATTAAGTTTTCTGCTCGCCTAAGATATACTGGTTATATTATCAATTTTGCGTATTACTTTTTTAATGTAGCTTTTTATGCTATTACATCCGTACATGTATTCTATCAGTCTAGGGCTAAGTGAATCGCTTGACGATGAACGTTACTTGTATTTTAAATATAACTTAAAGGAAAAAGTACCTGAAATGAGACTAAGCCAGAAAGATATTAATCGTTATCTCTCAATAAAAATCACTGTTCTCTATAGAATTTTCGATAATGTTTGCAATTTTCTAACATCTTGTATATTAATGTCGTGCCTTGAACTTTTTTGTTAAATAATAATTCGAGCGTTGTTAAAGTACCCCAATATCTCATTCCTGAATGTTTTTTTGAGTGAAGACGACGGGATGTATCATCTAGAGAAAATAATAAAATATAGTCAAGATAAGATTTAATAGACTGTGTTTATATATAACATTACTATAAATGAAGATGCTGCAGGTGTAACAAAGAAGAATGTTTCTCATTCTGATGCCTCTAAGTGAAATTTGGGAGACAGTGTGGGCAAGGAAAAAACAACGCAGTCATGGGCTCTGAAAGTACGGTGAGAGCGCACAGAGTACAATGTATTAAACATTAATCATAGATTCATCCTTTTTTTAATATTGGCATTCAATTTTATAATTTCGTTGTTATATATGTTTTTGATGGAAAACGGACTATTTCCCTAACTAGAATCATATTTATCTAATTCTGATAATCAATTAATCGACACTATAGACGAACAGAATATGAAAGAATCTATAAATACTCTTTCGCTGCGAATCTAAAATCCCTCTTCGGGTTATGTATCAAGATGAGTGGCATAGCTTTTGACGAAAATTAGTCTACCAACCGGATCTCACTATTGTATGAACAGCCACCGAGTGAAAAACTGATTGATGATATGTAAATGTTCCAAAGTATCCACTAACTTGTGAGAGCTAAAGATTGATATATTAAATAATTTATATCTAGCCCTCATTCTTTTATATTACATTTTTATTTTCATTTTGTGTTATGTTATGTCAGGTGATGTCTCTCCTGACATAAGAAGGCTCGTTCTATAACATCAGAGTTTCGATGATGGCATTCTTTCACGTTGCTCCATGCATAGGCGGTGTGCCAGCAATGCAATGGTTAGCAATTGCTACCCCTAAAATAAATTATTAGAAGCAATAAGAACTTAATG